ACATGCAGCAACAGGAATGACTCAGCACCTGTTCCGGATAGATGGAAAATCTTACTGTCCATGTCATCACAAAGGAGGTGAGGAAATTAGGGCTATATAGAGGATATCTCAAAGTTGTGTAGTTATCTTGCTTGATATGACTATGAACAATAAATTATGTCCGAAATGTAATCGAGTGAACAATACTGTTCCTTCACTATGTGATAAATCTAATCAATCAATAAAAAGGGAATTACATTCTACCACGACATTGCACAAGTTTCACTCTTATATTAATGTAACTTTATACTTCTTGCCTACTTCAAAGATGTTTTCTCTTATAGGATAAAAATTAGTGCATAACACGTTTCGCTTTATGCATAAATAAATAACTAGGCGTTGATTATTAATCCCTAGTTATAAGAATTACTATTGACACCAAAAGATGAAGATTTGAAATTGCTGAAAAATCTCACTTACATTGATACTTTAAAAAAAACTATACAATGATATTGATATTCATGACTCATTGACCTGGTGGATAACACTCTGACATTGAAAGTGATCAGTTCCAGATCCAAGTTTTAGTGGGAACAACACATTGATCACAGGAAGGCGGGTGTATCTGGTTGATGAGTCCCAAATTGGATTTCTCTGTTAGCCAATATCCATCATTATTAAGATTAGAATTTATAAGGAAGCTGAAAGTAAACTGAAAAAGAAGCTAGACTGAATAAATAGGAATTTATATAAAAATTACTGTTAGTCCTATGATAGAGCTAATAAGTGTACGCAATGATATTTAGACATATTTAGAAAAAGACTGATTGACCGAAGAAATGGAGACAGTAGACTTTATTTGCAACGAACTAACGAAGCATGGCATGGGAATAGATATTCCAGTCCCCAGATTGAATGAACTACTTCTGAGGTGTACGATGAATGCACAATTTCTTTTCAACAATGAACTCTACCGGCAATCTGATAGTGTTGCTATGGGGTCACCCCTTGGCCCATTGTTAGCAGATTTTTTTCTGGCAAAACTTGAGAATAATCCACTGAACGATACTATAAGCCGTTTAGAGTTATATTGTCGTTACATGGATGATACCTTTATAGTTCCCAAAAGTGAAATTGATAAGAATGCTGTTCTCAACAAGTTCAATAGTCTTCATCCGACAATCAACTTCATAATGGAATAGGAACTAAATGACAGTATCCCATTTCTTGATGTTCTGTTGGTAAGAAGGTCAGATGGAACCCTGAAGCAAAGTGTTTATAGAAAGCCAACATCGACAGGTCAATATACGCACTTCTTTAGTGCTGTACCCCTCCAATACAAAAGGAACCTAGTGAAATGCTTAGCATACCGTGCATCAGCTATTTGCTCAGAGGATGCTATAAAGGAAGAGTGCGCCACCATCCGTGATCTGCTTAGTAGGAATGGCTACCCAGACAAGTTTGTAAATAAGCACATGAATATTACGAAGGTTAAGAAAACAATGCCAACAGTTCCCAAGAAGCAAATCTTCTTGAAGCTGCAATTTAAGAGTGATATTGCCAGTGAGATCATCACACAACGCATAAAAAGAGTCTTGCATAAAGCATTCCCAGCCGCTAAATTATGTCCCGCCTTCTACAACCGCCCGATTCTAGGTGCAAGAAATAAAAACAAACTGCCTGATTCTGCCACTTCTATGTGCATTTATCAACTCAACTGCTCCTGTGGAGCGAGTTACATTAAGCGTACAATGAGGCAGTTCCATCGTCCAATTTCTGGGTACTACCCATCATGGTTGAACAAGGGAGAAATTAGAACTATAAAAAGCTCCATACTTGCACACTTAACTGACACAGGACATCAGGTGGTTACTGGAAAAGCCTTAAAAATCATTCATCAGATTCCAATTAATTTACCTCATGGATTATGCACTCGGTTACTTCATATAGCAGAGGCGATTACAATCCACCTCTACAAACAAACCTAGCCTTTGTATCCAAAAGAAGCTTGTTCGACCACTTTGATTACCGTGGCCGTCAACATGATGTGACTTCTAGGATTACTTTATACACCTCTTCCCCTTCCCCTTCTTTCTATCAATATTTATATTTCCTATTTTAGTAACCCTATTGATTATTGACATCATTATTTCTGAAACACTACCCCGTGATTGGTAATTTGATTAAATTGTAAGACGACTATGCATATTAGTGTAGAGCCCAAGATGAAGACCTAATTGAAAAGGAATATATTTCTTCACTCAATCAGTCTTTTTCGCAGTGATATTCTCCTACATGACAAAATTAGATTTAAAACTGTGCAGTTTTAATGATTCAGTTAGACGACAGATGGTTTGCTGATGGGGAACCTTCTTAATTACTATGAGTTAAGTGACACAGACGATTCAACGCACTATCTGTCATAGATATGCATCATTTCACGGCAGCTTATATTGGAAAAGGAGTACTAAGGTAGACAAATGTGTATGAGACAAGAGAGAATAAGTAGTAGATTATAAAGAATGCATACACCTGTGCTATTGTAGTCGATTTTGAGATGACATTGTCACCAAGTATCTGAAACCATTGGTTTACATCATTAGAGAACCCCTGTTAGGCAATCTACACCTCTCTACAAGACTTATTCCAAGAGTTACACTTCATGCATTGGTCCCATGCCTTTATCTAACTGGCATCAGACTTTTTTCAACTCAATCTTATTTTGGATAACATTTCACATTGAGGTAGACGATGCCTTGGTATGCAGAACAAATCTTCTAGCCACTGTCAGTCGGTAGTGGTTAAAAGCTTATCGACTAATTTGTCTCCTGTCATTAGTGCTCTACACGTACGAACTTCTAAGTAATGTCAGATATTCACAGATGACTGAATGTTCTCCTTTGACCAGATAAGTTAGATCATAGAAAAAGACAAGAGGTAGTTGCAGCATAGAAGCATCTTTCTTTCCGACGAAGTTATTTAATAAGCTGTACATTCGTGAATATATGTTACAGTGGGCACGACCTTATAGCATTATTTCCAGTTGGGGGGCGAAATATATTGAATCACCAAAGCAAGTTAATTAACGCACATTTAGGTTAAGAGTGAGAAAATAGACAAGGGATTATGAACTTACATGTAATTATGCAATACAGTAGGCAAATGAATAAGGTATGAAGGAAACACATGTGTAGTTACCTGATGCAAAATGAATCTATGACAGACCAGACAAGGCCTTACGATGGCCATGATAAAGATAAAGCTTTTGGACGCATAATACTGGTTTGAACTTCTGGATGACTAGTGCTTCAACTATAAACAGATGCCTTGATCTTACTCCCTTCGAGTGGTTTGATGGAAGCGTGTAGAGGATTTTGAATGAGCTCTTGAAAGGTGCTAAGTGACCTGATTTCACGAGGTGTTCTGTCAATTGAAGTGAACATACATTTCCGTTCTCCTTTATCAGGTAGTGTTTGTGGGAAGGTATTACAAGTGGATGCATTGTATGACCGATGTACTCAGGTGCACAAGAGGAAGTGAACCATGGTATAAACACATTGATGTGATGTGGGTCAATGCGTTGACTTGTCTTTGACACATTGACGAGAAGGAATTTTTTGCAGGAGAAAATGATTTGAAGGTTGATGTTGAAGTGTGTTCTACTTAAGGATTTTGACAGTGGTTTGCTGATGATGTGATATGATATGATATGATTTTTGAAATGAAGATTGAAGGAAGAATGTTTTTTCGGCTTCGAATGTGTTGGTTGAGTTTGGTTGTTTAGGTTAATGTTGTTATCTATGAGTGTGAGTGAGAAACCGTTTTCTGTTAGAGTTCATCGAAGTATTTTCAGTTCTGAGTCGACGGTATTCTCAGTACATATTTTCTCGATCCTGGAGGAAGGTGAATGAATAAGTTTTCTGTTCCTACATATAGTGACTGAACTTGGAAAATTAATAAACTGTCCGTTCCATATCAGCTTTCTGTAGATCGATCTACGAAGTGAATTATCGTCTTTTCTTTGGATAGTTGAACATCAAGAAAATGGAACATTGAGTTTGATTGTAGAGTGAATTTAGTTGAAGGGTGGGCTTTGTTGAGAGTATAAAGCAGGTTTACAAAAACTATAAAGGTATCATCAATGTACTTTTTGTAGGCATGAAGTTCATTGATTGTTGATGATACGTTGGCGTTTTCCAGTCTTGCCATGAAGCAGTCAACTAGGAGAGCCCGTTGCCGTACCGGAATATTCTGCCCACTGTAATATGTATTCACGAATGTATAGCTAAATAAATAACTTTATCAAAAAGAAAAATGCTTCTTGGTTGCAACCGCTTCTTATCTTTCCCTATGATCAAATCTGTGTATTTCGTTGTTTATAGTTGGATATGTAAACGAATTTTTGACGTGAAAATCGATGTACACAATGTTGAACTGGTTAAATACGATATTTTATCGTTAACTCATTTTTTTTTGAAGCTAGAAAACATAATTGTCAGCCTAACTGCAGAAAATATCTTACCAAGACATCCTAGGATCTGGCAAAGAACTAACCAAGAACCTATCGCTTAACAAATATGCAGTGGAAGAAAATGGAGATGGATTGGGTATACACTGAGAAGACCATTCGGGGACATCACGCGCCAGGCACTCGAGTGGAACCCAGATGGGAAGCGACCAGTTGGGTGTCCGAGGTGAGGGTGACATGGAGGAGATCGTGCGAGGAAGAAATGAGAGCTTGTGGTCAGTCGTGGCGACAGGTTCAAAAGATTTCAGAGAAGAGAGTGTAATGGAGGCATGCTACTGAATCCTATGTTCGTTTAGGAACCCAAGGGACAAATAATAACAATATAGACATTCTAGGATTCTATCACTGAAGATTTTTAACTCTGTGTAATGACACTGTTGAATTCCTCGATTCATATCAAAGGTATTCTATTAGTACACATAGTGCTATACAAATTCAGACTTTGAAAATTCTTTAAATATATAAATATACTTTCTTTTTCTCTTTATTTCAGCTTCAACTTCGCCTACAATGACTAAAATTGACGTCTAGTTGAAGTTAATGAGATAGGGGTACTGATCATTGTTTCCTCCTTTGGATGAATTCTGAACTAAGGTGTCATCCCATTGGTTGTTTCTAATGTTAAGGTTATCACTTTATCTATCTGTTTGTTTGTTTTTGTTTTTTCTGTCTCCTGTTACATAACGTTATGAATAAACACGATATGTGTGTACATATGAACATTATTTGTAATCTGGAAAACGAAGGCATTGTGAATCTCTCTCCCCTCTCTCTTGGATTTAGAATATGCATGCGCGTGTATGTGTATAGATATATACATCCACTTTTGGATGTCAATGTACATATAAAATATTGTCTTTGTGTACATGTCGACATATTGTCGAGTCTTTGTAAATGCTCAGTAAAATGTAGCCACATTTGTTCTTTTTTACTTCTCAATTATAGAGTGGTGCGTTTTCTACATCCACACATCCATCCAACATAGGACCAGGCATTACTACGTAATGGTTCAACTTACCACAGTTCATATCACTACATCAAGTAGAAAGGCAGTGGAGTGGAAGATGAAGATAAGAAAATTCAGTCAGAGGAAATATAAAGTACGAAACGAGAGAAAGGAAGAATGACAAAATGGTGAAATGAGGATAATGTGTATGGGGATACATCTGTTCCACTGACATCAGTTTTGAGCCATATGATCACCTAGAGTCAGTCTCCAACCACTGGTTCCTCTTGTCCTGTCGACCCCAACCGACTAGTCTGCATCGCCCACATGGCTCAAACCAACAGTCAAACACTTCATACATTGATTCCGTGTTTTAGTCTGGCCGAGAGCCAAGAGCGTTTTTCCAGGCTGGGCCTACTTTGGCCAACATTGTGTGACGAGGCAATCGGTGACTAGGCACAAGTAACACGTATCCCAACCATCTCATTCCATGAAGATTCACTATCGTGTCAACCGATTTACCTCTACACCTGACTTCAGGGTTACTCATGTGGTGACACCACGGAATACGGCCTATACTACGAAGGCGACGGTGGTCAAACACCTGAAGCCAGTCTTCTAATGTCTTCCACCTTGAATGGCCATGTTTCACAGCCATAGAGTAGAACAGAGTGGACTGCTGTGTAGGTGCAGTACACGCGACCCTTAATAGACAGTCGGATATTACAGGAGTGCCACAGGTGGAGTAATTTGCCAAAATCCAGTTGAGCCGTTTGTATCCGTGGAGAGATTTCATCGGTCAGTGAGCCAGCAGGGAAGGGCTGATCCTATTTTCGAGGTAAGTGAAGTGGTTGACACCCTCAATCACTACACTGTGTATTGTTAGCCGCAGTTGAGCCCGTTGAAGACCAATCGTGGAGCAACCATTTTGATTTGGGTGGTGAGAAACACATCCCAAACATTCTCAAATTGGCAGTCAAAGTGTTCAGAAGACTCTGCATCTTGTCAGCGTTTTCACCTAACAGGACAACGCCATCTGTATATTCTATGTCTAACGAAAATTCTCCTGCGATTACATCAACCTCTGCACACACAAACGTCATACGTGGTGCAAACCATGTTTAACTCATTGGGTTAACGATACCGACTTAAATTTATTCATTGTTGATATATTTCATACTGATTAGAGTTGAAGTCGTCAGCTTATAACTCACTGATGTGGCTCATTACTTACTGCACGAATGTGCACAAGATAGCTGAGTGTGTATTGATACCGTGACCAGATGTTCATAACTTCAAACGCTCAATTTCGATAGCGTAGTTAGAAGACGAAGTTTATCTGAACAATGTATGTGCTGTATTTGTGCAATACATTTCGAACAATGTGTTCACACATTTACTCGTCAAGTCAATCTATATTAAACCGAAAAGTGGGAGGACAAATACACAATTAACACAATAGGGGATTAAAATTCGGAAAGGTGAGAACAAACAGGACGTGACCAAGTTGATTCTAATCTTGGTAAGAAAACAAAGTTTACCAAGAGGAGGGAGGTGTAGTATAAGAACAAATAGTCTGTGTACACAGAAAGTTCAATGTGTATAGCTATGGCTTCGCCATATCTCAGTATACGTCCCTGACTGTTTCTATATAAAACTTTGAAAGCTGTTTCAACTTTGTGACCTGTTTCTATGATTTGTTTAGCTGTAGATGAATAGGGTCGTCTCCCACAAGCGTGTGTTACGAAGTTTTACACTTCACTTATTTTTGAAGCGATTTAGGTACAAGCACTCCCGCCCTCAGCTGCATGACTCGATTACTCTTCCCTATGTATGTGTGACCACACACATGTAAATTGGTAAACACAATGGGATGTGGCGTAATCATTGGTCCATTGTTTAGGTTTTTGGTGAAGCATGTGTTTTGTTTCTTCGACAATGATAAGGTTAGCTGCATGATATGTTTTCCTAATGGCTGATATCAGCCTACGTCTCAAAACGATACTATTCAACTCCTCTCTGTATGGTAAAATGATATGGACGCTTATTTTAGGAACCGTGTATAGAGTTGGCTTCGGTGCTACTTGACCTCTACTACGGTTTATAAACTTCGTCGGATATCCATTTTCCATAAGTGCTTTGGTCAGTAATTTGATGTCTTCATCCATCGTATCTGGTGTACTGATACGATAGATTCTATCAAACAAGCATTTTACTAGACCTCGCAAGTATTGGATCCGACAAAACTGAAAATTCAGACATTGTCCTGTCCATGTAGGCTATCTGTAAACTGACCGTCTTATTGAACCATCTCGTCGACTCAGCAGCACGTCTTAGAATGACATGATTATTATTCTCTTTCTCACAAATTATGTCATCAACATATCTCTTGTAAAGAGGAACTTTGGTGATGAGATCACCAGCCAGATTTTCGATATATGACATAAATATCATCACGGACTGACATCAGTTGGGGAACCATTGAAAATCTGGGAGCACTGGACAGCTGTCTCGTCCTAGTATGGGACTCTTCGGCAGTATACACACGACCTGGCTATAGATCGGACTCAGGACCTTCAGGTTTCACGGAGAACGCGTCAACCATCAGCCATGGGGTCGGTTTTCAGTGGTACACAATTTCCAACTCCTGTCAATTCACGATATACCGTGACTGTCACCCAAGGTCTTCAGTCGGCATTTGCTTCCCAACTGGTTTACCCCACATTACTGTATACAGCGTATTAGTGACATGCTTCCAGATGGATATCATGAAGCTCTAATGAGAAGTCGTGACCTGTGGAGTCAACCAGTTGGAAGGGAAGCGGATATCATCCTTAGACCTTGGGTAGTAGTTGCGCTATGTCGTGAATTGACAGAAGTTGGAAACTGTGAACCATTGAAAACCGACCCAATGGCTGATTGGTTAACGCGTTCTCCGTGGAACCTGAAGGTCCTGAGTTTGAGTCCTAGGTGTGTACTGCTGAGGAGTCCGATGCTAGAACGAAGCAGCTGTCCATTGCTCCCAGGTTTTCAATGGTTCCCCAAATAATTTCAGTCTGTGATGAATACTACTTTCATCCCAGAAATATCAGTTAGTAGTGGTTTTAAGGGTCTACCTATAACTAGCTACACCGTCAACTTATCGAAACCATTCACCTTCAGATGTGAAGTAGACTTTGTTGGTACACACCTTCAGAAAGGTTGAAGTAATAGGAAATAGTAGGCTTCTAGGAGATATATACAGCCACAGAGAATGCTAATAGTCTTGGACAACGGCATGTTAGTGAACAAAGAATTTACACCTCAAGATTACATAATCCTGTTTGTGATATTCATGTTACTAAGACAGTAAACAATTTGAGAAGAATCTTTCAATGAAAACTCACAGAATTCGTTTCGAACTGGATTTAACATTTCACCAACCACTTCGCCAGTTTATGTGTGGGGAGACGACATAGACAATATAAGGCGTAAAGGACAATTAGCTTCATATTCTTACGTAATCCATATAAATTTGGAAATTTGGATCCCATATGTTTGAATGAATTGAATTCCTCTTTGCTAATAGCATTCATATTCAAAAGCTTTTACTAAATTAGCGGCTACTCTTGCTTCCAATTTTCTAATATCTTCTGATGGGACATAGCTATGAATTAGCTTTCATCACTGAGATGGATAACATTTTTATGGTCAGACTTATTGAGGAAACTTGAGTGCTGATTGAGTTGTGGGGGCGGTTGACACTTTTCGGCTGCCCACACCGTGGAAGACTATTTCTCCTTCTTAAGGTACCTGAAAGAGAGCCCATCGGACATCTGCTTGGGGCCTGTCACACGTAGCCTTTTGTGTATGATTATTTTGTATTTTGGGGGCCGGATGGTTGAAAGAAAACTGCAAATGAACCAACACCGCCAGCCCAGCAGACCATAGGACATGGTGGAGTGCGTTATTTTTGGGGCTGACCTTTTCTAACCTCCCCCCTTTTGATTGAGAAGGCATCATGGCACTGCTGGTCATCTAAGGGAAACACCTTACTGCCGTCACACCCTATCCAGCTAACAGCAGTACGACTTCGCCTTCAGACCCCATCATAGTGTAGTAATTTACACCACAACGGTAACTGCTTTCGTCTGACCACTATCCTACAGACTTTTCTGGTATGGAGGACCTCGAGGGAACAACGTTCCAGCAGCATAGCTCTTTGGGTCATTGTGATATGCAAGCCAGACCACCACGTCAAGGTAGCAGCTATCTTTTGACTGAATTTTCTTATCCTCATCTTACACTTCACTGCCTTTTTACTTGATGTACTGATAGGAAGTATGGCAACTCGGACTGTTACGCAGTAATGCCTGGTCCTATGTTGATATTGATCATGATAAGGATGATCCCTTATCAGGTTTGAGAATGATTATATCTGATGTATTCCGTAATTCTTTCAAAGATTCGAAATGTTGTGAATTCAAAATGCTTCCTTGTCTTGTTTCTGAACTATGGAATTGATTAGCAATATCAACTAATTTAGTCTCTAACCAATTTTGATTATCTGAAGCCGTAGATGACAAGAGGACTCAATGTATCATAGAGATATTCAAACTGACCATCAATATATGTGTGTATGGAACTAAAAAATTGAATCCAAGGGAAGCGCCTCTTTCTCGTGAATTGAAAGTACAACAGAGGACAAATTAATCAGATATTTATCAGGAACGCTTAATTGGTACCCCCAGTAGGCTGTTGAATCACAACAACCATTCTTATACGTCTGGTTTTGTTACCTATTCACTGTATTAAACTGAATTATTTGTTGAATATGTTCATCCTTGTAAGATTGTTGTGTGCTTCATTTTCGATGTTATTTGTTCTTGATGAAGGCTAACTGTGGAATCTAAAAGAAGTGCGTACTCTTCTCTATTCTCAGGATTCATACATATTTCTACTGTCATATAAGCATGTTAGTTATATGAAGGGAAGAAAACAGATTAAACTTCAA